CAGGCTCTCTGCTGACTGCTTTCTCAGAGCCTGGAGACTGCTTCAAATTCTGTGTCTCCTTCTCTCTCTGACCCTCCCCCGCTCATGCTTTGTATCTCTCTGTTTCTCAAAAAAAAATAAATGTAAAAATAAATAAAGAAATACATAAACATTAAAAAATAATTTAAAAAATAAGCATCTGAGACATGAGGAAAAGATAGGGAGGTTGGAGAGGGTAATTGTGGATGTTTCTGGTAAATGTAGCAGGTAAATGTGTAAAGGCAGAAAAGAATGAAGACAAGTAACAGAGAAACTCAATATGGTTGGAAGGGAAAAGAAGAGTAGTAGAAGAAGTAGCTGAAGGTGGAAGTTTGGGTGAGCCAAACTCTTGAATGGTCATGCTAAGTGTATAGGACTTTTTAAAAATTTTTTTAATGTTAATTTATTTTTGAGAGAGAGACAGAGCATGAGCAGGGGAAGGGAAGAGGGAGATGGAGACACAGAATCCAAATCAGGCTCCAGGCTCCAAGCTATCAGCACAGAGCCAGATGCAGGTCTCGAACTCAAATACCGCAGATCATGACCTGAGCTGAAGTCAGGGGCTTAACCAACTGAGCCACCCAGGCAACCCTAAGTGTACGGGACTTTAAATTAAAAAAAATGGAAAGCCAAACAAAAGGGAACTCTGTAACTACTGTATGGAGAATGGAAGATCAAGGATGTGAAACTTCTAGATAAATCAAAAGGCTGTTATAGCAATACCAATGAGAAATGATGCTAACTCAGAGAAGATTCTTTCAATGGAGATGAGAACTGAATGAAGTTTGCTGCACATGGGTGGTAGAATCCATAGGAGCTGAGGATTGATGTTATGTGTACATTAACAGCCAGTAGTCCAGAAGTAGTCACAGGAAGTATAATAATCTCTCCTACTCTCTACCAGATGAAAGCCTAGCTTGCTCATATCAGGTTTTTAGTGTTGCTCAGCAATCTATTCAGGATTCTAGAAAGCCATGAAGGTATCCCATTGAAAGTTGACTGTCAAACTCAACTCTGTGTGGAAAGTTTATTTAAAGTGACCTTATGGTAAGGTCATGAACACCAATCTTAACCCCAGTCCCAAGAAATAATTTCTAATTTCAGCCTCAGCCTTCTACCCTCACACAATTCCTGCCAGAACTGTTGTTGGTTAGGGTTGGGCCTTCTTTTTTG